ATTCATGGTTCTGCGTGTGTTAGAGAGCAATTCACCGCCAGAACAACAGGCGGAGTGACATGTTTTGTTGAAGACGACCTAGAGAGTCACGTCTATTTATTTATTTGTTTATTTATTTATCATAGACTTTATTGCCCCGTGCATCGCCACTGTTTCTTTTCATCGCGGACACATTTGTCCCGTATTTTCCTCCATAACTTTGTGCACCTCTCGACCGGCAAACCGGCGTTTGCGGAGATCTCCCTCCGTGAATCCAACCAGCTTCTACAACCCGCCAATGACGGCTTGTTTGCGCATTTCTTCCGACAAAAGTTCTTAAATCTGCTCCGTTCTCTCGTAAACATTCTTCGTTTTAATAATGGCGGTATCGGGCTATGAAGGCGGAAATGTGAGACTCCCTAAAGGACGTAGTTAGCAGACCAATTGCAGCCTGGTGCGCTGCTAGAAAAATGTCTCGAAACACGCAAGGACGCAAGGAGGTGTGAAAAGCGACGCAAGGGACACGCAAGGGGGGCTTGCGTCTGCGTCGCTCTGAAAACGCAGAAGCAAAAATCAGGCTTAAGAGATACCTGGGCATAAAGCCTGTGCAATCTTGGCATCAGGATGATGTTAAATTTAATAAAACACAACAAATAGAACACGCGTTTCCCTGATTTCTTAGAGTATATTATGCTCATGCTGAAACTATGTTTGGGATTGATTTTCATATCATTTCCGGTTGTTGGTGTGCCGTGAGATTTTTTCTGTGTCTTAAGTGTGCCTTGACGCAAAAAAGGTTGAAAAACACTGAGCTAGAGGGCTGATTAGCAACAGCAGATACTTTTATAGAAATGCAATATATGTCTCTCTGTAATTCTTAAAAAAGCAAAGTCATCCGGCGGCCCGCATTGGACCCCCCCACGCTCTACATGTTTATGTCTTCATGTGGAATCTCTCTTCCTATCAGCCAATTCATCCTCTCACATTTATTAAATTAATTCCAATTTAAGTTCTCTGATATTTTAGAGACAAAATTACGTTTTCCGGTAGTTTAACACATGAATGTGAGTTTTACCAAATATTTAAGTTTTTTATGTAACTAAATATGAGTAAAGTAGATATTTAAGACTAAATGCACATAAATATGTGTGTGATTGTCGTTGCAGGCGGGTGGAGGCTCGTCTCTGTGTCCGTTGGATTAGCAGCACTCATAATAATACTTGTAGTCGTCAACATGTGGATTAGAATTAAAGGTGAAGAAGCTGAAGACATTTTGATGAGAGACGTCTTTTGCTGGTGAAACTAAAGCGACTCTTTCTTTTGTCTCCAGAGAGGAAAACACAGACGGAAGAAAACGCTGTGAGTCTTTAACAAGTTAACAATGAAACGCTTCATCACTTCATGACGTTCTTATCTGCAGTATTTCTTCACTCCAACACGAGTCGCTTTAGAGCTTCTAGCAGCTAACGGTGCTAACGGCCCACCAATGCTAGCAGAGCTAACACTTAGCGACTGAGCTCACAGTGTCCACATGAGGGGGAACCGCAGGGTGGATGCTACATGGAGGGTGGAGCACGTCAGAGAGGTGGGGGTGTAAAGTGTGGCTTTGTGTTGTTTCTCACAGGTGCGTTATGATGCAGAAGATGACACAGTGAACTATGAAAACATGAGACCTGCTGCTGGAGTTTGAGCAACACGTCTGCAGATCAGCTCCACCACCATCTTCATGGTGTCCCAGCTGCTGATGTGGAGCCAGATGTTGTCTTCATTGGGCTGCTGAGGTCCAATATTGATCAATCGTTCTCTGTCATGTGAGCGAGCGACTTGCAGCTGGTGGTTCGTTCTCTCTGGGAACAAATGACTTCATTAGTAAAACATATTTACACAGACGGGAATCAGCTGAAACTAAAGTCTGAATATGATCCACAGGAGTGATGAAGCATTGTTTGTTTTTTTGTTTGTTTTTATGAAATATGTTTTCATAAGTTTTTATTTTATGAATTTGTCTGCAGCAGCTGGATTTTAACTTTTCTTAACTTTGTTTGTCTTCCAGCTGATCATTTCAGTGTTGATCTTAACATTTTCAGTTTAATGTGTGAAGCTGCAGCAGCTGGAGCTCAGTTTCACGTCTGTGTGAACAGAATAACTCTCTTTGATCCACTTTCATTCAGCATTCACATGTTTGTTGGGATGTGTTTGTGTTTCAGTAACTTGTCTTTATAATATGTGATAACAATAAATAAAGACAGCGTCATGCTACACTGTGCTGCCTGTTTTATTACAATATTCTAACATTATTTCATTCCAGTGAAACACCTGCAGGCCACATTTGGGTGGAAAAAGTGTTGTATGAAGAATTTCTTTCATATGTAAATTTGAAAATGATATTAAAATATTGGTTCCCCGTGTTAAACGTTGCTGCCGTGTTTGGGAGTGTCTCTTTTTTTATTGTTGATGGGAAACAAGATGCAGTTTCATCCAGAAGTGCGTTTTACGTCAGTGATGAAACATTGTAGAAAACACAATTTGACACAAAAAGGAACCAACTGAACATGAAAGCAGCGCAGGACTTTCACCCAGGAGGCAGCGAACGGGCCGACCTCCCACTTCACCCCCCCAACGACCTCCATCCACCTCTTCGCTTCACGTCATGTTTCTGTGCTGCTTTCAACATCTGGAGCTGCACGCCATCATTTCAACATCTAACGGCTCTTTCCAAACAAGCCGGCCCCAAAAAAGTGAAGTGTCCTCATATCGTGGTCGAGTGTTGCAGATCATCCGGCTCAAATGAGGACGCTCGTGAGGAGGAGGAGAGGAGGTGACTCCCTCTGAAGTACAGCGGATACATCCAGAGGTCCTCAGTGAGGAGAAGAGGAGGAACCATGGCTGAATTCAGAGGGATTAAAGCCTCTTTCTTCCTGATTCTGATGCTTCAGTTTACAGGTAAGAACACATAGAATGTGTGTATGACTACAGAAACATCATTTATTAATATTAGTGTTATTTTATAACAAACCCTTTAAAGAAGTCACCAGTAGTCTGCTTGTTTCGTGAATCGTGAGTTTAATGAACTCTTGTGTGAATGTCTTGGAGACATCAAAACTTGGATGACCGGCAACTTCCTGATGCTAAACTCAGAAAAAACGGAAGTTATCTTCATAGGCCCAGAGCGCCTTCGCAGCCAGCTGTCACGTGATACAGTTTTTATGGATGGAATTGCTCTGGTACCCAGCAGCACCGTCAGGAATCTGGGAGTTCTCTTCGACCAGGATATGACCTTCAACTCGCATATAAAGAAGACTTCAAGGACTGCCTATTTTCATCTACGTAACATATCAAAAATCAGAGAACTTCCTGTCTCAAAGTGATTTTGTCA